ATTCAAGTCGCACGTATCTTACAGGTCAATCAGTTTGGTGGAATGCATTTACAAGTTGATTTCGAAGGTTTTAGCTAAGAGATTATCCAAAGTGTTGGGACAAGGGATAGGAAAGAGCCAACATGCATTTGCGAATGGTAAGCAGATCATGAATGTTGTTATGATGGCGAATGAAGTGGCGAATGAATTGGTGAGTCATATGAGAGAAGGAATCATATGCAAGTTAGACATGGAAAAAGCTTATGACCATGTTAATTGGGCTTTTGTGAATTATATGTTGGGAAGGCTAGGATTCAGTTAGAAATGGAGGAAGTGGATGCATGCGTGTGTATCCATATCATATTCTGCAGTGATGGTAAAACGAGGACCCTCTCATTTCTTTAAGGTGTCAAGAGGTTTTAGACAAGAAGACCCATTATCTCCCCGGTTATTTACTATTGTCATGGAAGCACTGAAAAAATTATTGGAGAAGGCAAAGGAGTTGGAGTCATTGAGGGGAGTAACTGTGGGGAGGAATGATGATTAGGTTTAGGTATCTCACATTTTCTTCGCTGATGACACATTGACTTTTTGTCAACAAGAGGAGAGGATGATTCTTAATCTAAGATGTGTAATCCCATGCTTTCAAGCAGTTTCTGCTTTGAATATCAATTTAAACAAGTCTAAAATGGTGGAGTTTGAGGATAGAAAGGATGGCAGAAGATTAGCAGGAGTGCAGGGATGTAAATCAATAAACCTACCTATCAAATACCTTGGTATTCCATTGGAATCCAAATATAAAGAAGTAAGAACTTGGAAATCTGTGATTGAGATGTTGGAGAGAAGACTGACAGGTTGAAAGAGTATTTTCTTGTCAAATGAAGGAAGGACAACACTTATTAAAAGTGCACTTACGAACTTTCCCATTTACTACTTGTCAGTGTTGAAAGTTCCTATGAAGGTTGCGAAAAAGCTCAAGTCTATGCAATCTCAGTTCCTACAGAGGGATGAAGAGGGGAGAAGGAGGTACCATTTAATAAAGTGGGAAGAGGTGAAGTTACCTTTAGAGCCAGGGGTCTTGGATTGAGATCCTTGGTTGAAATGAATTTGGCATTACAAAGTAAATGAATTTGGAGATATATGAAGAAAGATGACAATTTGTGAAAGAGGGTTGGTGAAGCTAGACAGGGGATTATTAGTGGGGGAGGGTCCACTAGAGATATGCTTAGACTGTATGTGGTAGCTTTATGGAAGAGCATAAGCTTGGGGAGACAAAATATTCAAGAATGTATTAAATGGAAGCTGGGAAGAGGGAATAGGGTTCTTTTCTAGCAAGATGACTGGATTAGGGGTGGAAGTTTGAAAATCAATTTTTGCATATTTTTCCTGTTGCTCAATCAAAGCACAATCTGTGGAGGAGGTTTATGGGGAAGGGGGCTGTAGAAGGGAGTGGATAGTGAATGTGACCAGAAATCTCAATGACTGGAAGATTGAAGAATATGAATCTTTATTACATATATTGTCCACATTCCAGTTGAATGATAATAGCAATCAGCTAGTGTGGAAACTAAAGTAGAATGGGGTGTTCACCTTGAAATCTTTCTATAATTAATTAGTCAGAGATTCAGAGGAGCTACGGTTTTTGGCCAAGCAAATTTGGATCGTCAAGGCACCTCCATGAATTGGTTTTTTTTTTCTTGAAAGGCAGGTAGAGATTGCATTCTAACTATTAACAAGTTGATGAGAAGGGGGAGGACAACGGTGAATGGATGTTATCTTTGCAAGAATGCTGCAGACTCGTGTAATTATATTCTTCTATGGTGTTTGATAGTATATAATTTGCGGATAATGGTGTATGGTTTGCTAGGAATAACTTGGGTTATTGCGGAATCGGTGAGGGATGAGATTTGGGCATGGGAGGGAATCTGTAAAAGGAAAAAATTTGTAAATCTTATTTCTTCAGCTCTCCGAGGGCCCTAGGGAAAGAGAGAAATAATAGAGATTTTGCAGGGGCGAAAGAGAGAAAAAACAGCCAACCCAAGGCGAATCGCCGCTGCTTACGCCGGCACCGACGCCCGAGCACGACGGAGCCGCTGTGCCGGAATTGCGATATTGGCTGAAAGGGGCCCTAGGTATAATTTGGGATTTTTTGGGGCACGTGCAGGTACCAGTAGTGTGTTTCAGTTTCCCGGGAAAAATTCAGAGAAAATTAGGGACAACCTGTAGGCGCACTGTAGAGCTGTATTGGGACCCCGAAACAAGTAAGGACCCCTCACCCTATTTTCTATCACGGT